CTGATAATAAAGAACCAAGCATTTATTACTTTTTTTTTTTTTTTTGAAACAGAACAAGCTATTTGAAATAGAAAGTTCTCTCTCTCCAGTTTCTCCAGCTGGTGGGAGCTCACCACTCAGGGTCAGGATTTCCACAGTGTGCAGAACTGGTTTCTCTTCATCCCCTCTGTTTATGGATCTGTGGCTTGTGTGCCACTTACTATCCTCTGAGAGACACACGTGAAATGGGCTCGTGACAGGGGCCCTGCAGAGCTCAAAGATAACTCAGTAGGAATTTCATCAGTGAGAGTAGATGAGGGAAAACACTTGATATCCTGATGGCATTTGTGAGTAAGAAATTAAATTGAGTGCTTGGTGGTTTGGGTTCTCTGTCGTCCCCACTGCCTCCTCTCCTCAGGAGAAAAGTCATAAGGACAGAAGTTGCTTCACCTTCGTAAAGGTATTGGACAAGGATTAAAATTTCAGAAGCCTGAAATGTGTTTGGATTTAGGAGATATTTTCTTTAAATTAGGCTTCAGATTTTGAAATTAATTCTCAATAAACAATCAGGTATATAGTGTGTGTGCTTTTTCTCCTTCCTTGACTGTCAGGGTCCAGTTCCTTGGATATTCACCACAATTTGAGATGCTCGTGTTCATTCATTCATTCTTCAAATATTGAATGAGCACTTTGTGTGGGGCCTGTGGCAGACCTTGGGTGTGGCACAGTGGCCATGACACATAGCCCTGTCCTCAAAAAGCTCCAGTCTAAACCCGGAGTCAGTCGTTTTCTTTCAAGTGTGAGATAGTACATGTTTTAGGCTTTGTAGGCCATACATTTTGTCTGATGACTACTCTGCTGTTGTATCAACGCAGCCAAAGGCGATTTGTAAATGAACAGGCATCGCTGCATTTCAATAAGACTTTACAGAAATCGACTATGGGCTGGATTGGTGGCAGGCTGTAGTTTTTGGACCGTGGATCTAGTGGACAAATGAAAAGGAACTGTTGTGACAAGGACCTGTGGTAGATTGTGTACAGGATTCTGGACCTGACCCTGGTGGGGGTAGGTGGTTTTGAAGCCCCCCAACTATGGTGTTTACACGGAGACCTGAGGGCTGTGCAGCAATAACCAGGTGAACGAGGTGCAGATTCGGGAGATGAGAGGGCAGGTGTGTTGGAGGAGGGAGTGTTCTAGCCAGAGGACAGCCTGGAAGGAGCATGCCTGGAACGCAGAGCATCAGAGGCGTGGCAAGACATCTCCTGAGGAACGTGACGCGGTCTCATCTCACACTAGACAAACTGACCCTCCGAGCGCTCGCGTGCAGGACAGGATCAGGAAGCACTTTTATGTTAAAATACTCTAGACCATTTTGTTTTCAGTTCCAGTCAGTTGAGCGCCAGGGATTCGCATTCTATGCGAAGTGTGCTGACTGAGTGACTGTGTGGTTGCCTGGAAGCAGGCAGGTGACTCTGGGAGAAGAAGAGACCACAGGAGAGCCAGGCAGGGACAGCGTGGCAGTCCGCCTGCTCCCACGATCATTCTGCCAGGGCACCACGCCTGTCCTCACTGTGAGGAGAAGCCTTTCCCCAAGCCGGGGGTCTCTGGTCCCCCGCCTGATGTTGAATGTGTTGGATCTTGTCTGGATAGGACTTTAAGGGTCCAGAGCACCTTCTGTCTCATGGGCACAAGTCAGAACATACTCGCTGTTGATCACGGACATTATAGGAAGCAGCATGATGTCTGGAAGGAGCCTGAATTCTAATATGAGGCACATGTTCAAATCCTGGTTGCATGTCTTACCGATTTCAGCAAAGTTACTTAAACTCTACATCTCCATGTTCTGGTCTGTAAAACAAAGGTGTTCTACCCATCTGGCAAGGTTGTCCTAAAGAAGTAATCAGTAGCAGCTGTGGCGTTGGATCCAGGCGTGTGGGAGCACCCAGAGTCCACGTTGGCCTGTGGTCCTGCGGTTGGCTGTGCTTTCCAGCCCTGTCTGCTGTGGTCCAGAACAGGGGTGGGTGAAGGGATGTGAGTGAAGCTCATTGATCCCACCATCGGAGAGAGGGAAAAAGCATGAGTTCTTCACAGGAGGTCAGAAGCATTAATTTTATGCAAGATAGTCATTTATGACTGTTCTGGCTTTAGGAAAACAACAGAAGGCGCTCATGGGGTTACAGAGCTCTGCTGCGTGTTGTCGAGGAAACCCGGCGGACCGGGCTCCTCTGACACTGAAATTTAAGTGCACCTTCAGTCCGTTATCTGCGAGGCAAGGTGCCCCTTTTCCGTCGTTTCTCATCCAGCTATCCGTCTGCAGCAGGGCCTTTCCCGTCCAGCCTGCAGCTCACTCAGGATCCCTCTGCGGTGGGACCTGTGTGATGGGAAGTGGCGTCCTGGCCCTCGCCGGGCCCCTGGTTCCGCAGGCTCCCCTGCTCACCCTGCCACAGCCTCGACTGTTCCCCCCAGAGCCTGCACCACGGTCCTGGATGAAGGTGCCGGCGCTGCCACGTCGCGAGGCTCCTGTTACGTTACACGAGTCTTCTTAGGTGCCCCAACCCCATCAGGGTGATCCGAAGGCACCCCTGGATTTTTTCAGGGGGTCTGGAAGCAGAAAGGCACGAGGATGCCTGGGGTACCTTTTACGTCGGATTTGCTCCTCACTTCCGGCTCTCAGGGCTGAGGGGCACGCTGGAGTGAGGGGCCAGGAAGGTGAGAGATGCTGGTTGGAGGAGTAAAGGCCTGGGGAGACGATGACCTTAAGCTAACTCGGTCTGTTACGTCTCCAGAGCCCCAGTACCTGCCATCCCTGTCTCGAGCCCTCAGTCCTGAAGCATGGCCACCAGCTTGGAACCTCTTCAGACAGCTGGAGCCACCACCCACCCACGGGACTGGGACAGGCATTCATGGAGACCTGTCCCATCTCAAGCAGGACACAGGATAGGACATGAGGACAGAGATTAGGCCCTGTGGAAATATTGGTACAGAATTCAGGAACGTTCAGGACTCGGCAGAAGTAAACAGGTCGAGAAGCTGTGTCAGAATGCCTGGGGTGTAACCCTCATTTTTAAATTTATTTGCATTCCTTGCCCAGTATTTTATCATGTCTCTTAATGTTTTTCTTATTGATGTATTGCGTTTATGTGTCATATAAAACCCTTGTAATTTCATGCAAATACTTTTTAATATTTTTTAAATCTTTTAATTAATGTAGGGGTTTCTGACACATGTAAGCTTTAAACTTTTTTTTTTTTGTTACTAATCCTCAACCAAGGATATTTTTTCTATTGACTTTCAGATACAGTGGGAGGGAGGGAGGGAAGAGGGAGGGAAGGGGGGAGAGAGAGAAACATCAATATGAGAGAAGCATTGATTGGTTGCATCCCGCACACATTCCAACCAAGGTCAAGGATCGAACCTGCAACCCACGTACATACCTTTGACCAGGAATTGACCGAGACCCTTTGGTGCAAAGGCCAATGCTCCAACCACTGAGAAACACCACCAGAGTGGATGGAAGCTTTAAACTTTTAAGCACTGTTTTTATCTTTTCTTGCGATTTTTTGTATTCCTTTTTAAGCTTATACAATAAGAGAAAATATTAAATATTCATCTATATCTTACTAGGAAAAGTGTTTTATTTCTTTAAAAAAAAAACCATTAATTTATTTTTTGGATTGATTTTAGCATAGGGTGTAAAACGGAGATTTTATTTTTTCCCCAACTAATGTCCTGCACTAGGAGCTTAACCATAATTAGTGTCCATTTAAAATTTCCTACCAAACCAGATGTTAACTTGGGTGCCATGAGGGTCATAAGAACGAGAAAAGCCTGCCTGCCCTGGAGGAACCAGCCTTAGCAGTGGATGCCGGATTCAGGTGACTTTGCGAGCCTGGCGTCAGGAAAGGATGCTCGGATGCTCACTGGCCCGGCCGTGGTGCAGAAGGGAGCCCCTGTCCGTCCTGGCCCAGCACACAGACGGCTCAACTCACATGGGGCCACCATCCGTCCTCTGGTTGACATTTAGCTACTCCGTTGGCAAGGAGCATAAATGTGCATGCCTACCTGATATGCCACTGTGGCAAGGTAATTCCATGTCAGGGATCAGCCACATGAGATCTCGTTTGGATTGTGCTTTAATCAGCTGCCCAGAAACCCTGCCTTGTTCCTGTTGAACACTGTCTCCACCGTCTGCGGCGATGCAGGTCCCATTTAAATTTTCCTTAGAGTCAGCGGGCACTGGGCTGTGGAGAGCACACCGCGGGGGTGCACAGAGGCAGTGTGTGCTGTGTGGAGTCTTCTGAACAGAGGAGATGGGCTCTGGAAGGCAATTCGCTCATCCCGAGAGCCAAGTAACAAAGGCGTCAAATTACTTTGTCGTGATTTTATAAACCATTTTGCATGCAAGGTTCTGCATACCAGGAGCAACTCGTGTTCATTGTTTTCCTTGAGTTGGGTGTGCCCAACATTTCTGAAGAGCAAAAATACAACGTGAGAAAGTAGCAGGACGTTTGTGTCTCTTTGGCTGAAAGAGACTCAAAGAGAGGCTACTGAAAATTAATTCTTTACAAGGCTGTTCACAAACCAGAAAGAAAGGATATCAGTCCACCAGCATGCCTCTGTTCGAGATCACAGGAAATAAAATGAATTAAACCAAAGTTAATGGTCAGTAGAAGCGTGCGTGGTCTGTATAAATGAGCATTTGAATTCCTTTAAGATGTGCAAAAGGCTATGAGCAATTTTGGGTTTTTATCTTGATATGTGGCTTCCAGCTGACTGCATGCAGCCGTTATCTATGTAAAGGTTTGTTACGTGTTTAGATCTACTGCAGGTTTAAGAGAAATGGGGCACTTTTCTGGACCCCCTTATTTGTGTAAAATCATATTTTCTCTGCAAACACAGTAAAGGTCTGCCATGGGGCTGGAAGCAAGGGAGGGAACGTGGTCTGAGCCAGCCATCAGTGCTGTTGCAGGATTTTATGATTGGGTACCAGTCATCTAAATGATCTTTGTTCTTTCTTTTAGGAAAAACTATGTCTACCCCATCACATCCTTGAGGAGAAAGGCCTGGTCAAAGTGGGCATCACTGTTCAAGCGTTGCTAGACGTGACTGTAACGAAGGCTCTGTTCACATGAACTCCTGTCCTGTGGTTGGGCCCAAACCCTTCACCCGTCAGAGATCCTGAACTCTGCTCCAGTGCCCCCCACCCCACCCCACGCCTGTGTCCATGAGTCTAGTTGCATTTAAGGGAGGACCTAAGAGAAGATTTTCTACCTTTCAGAACTGACCTCGGACATTAGGATGTGACAGGTATTTCTAGAAGCCAGTGAGGGAGTTGGTTACGAAGAATGAGCAGCACATCATGCCTTTGACCGCCTGCACCCGCCACGCCCACCCACGGCCTTTGCCAGGCTCAGCTGCTCTGCAGCAGAGGCCTATCCTTCTCTGAAGCCAAACTTGTGTGTTTAGTGGGGGGCGGGGGGGCTCAGTCAAGTTTTTCACCACCAAATTTTTCAAGAAGTTTCTTGAGACCATTGCCTTTTAAAAAGCTATTTTCGACATACAAAATATTTATATAAGTATTATTTATTAGTGAGTTGTTATTCATCCTTTGGATGCAAATTGTAAATTAGGAAACTATTTTATTACTGCTTTTTTGTGGTTAAACACTTTTTAAATTATAAATGAGTTATTTTCTATCCTCTTTGGTGTGCAGTAGCTCTGGGTCTCCGTAATCATGTTTTCTAGTATATATGACTCAGAAAAAAATTAAGCAAATACCGGTGCTTCTGTGACAAGAAGTGTTTTCTGGGGAGGCATATTTACACTTTGATTTATAGAACATTGGTCTTGTTTATATTTCTACATTCCATCCAGTTTCCTACATTCCAGCCCTGTTGTCCCCTGATCCAGAGAGCGCCCCAAAGTTGTTTGTAAATAGCTGTCATGGGGGAAAAAGACATTAAACTTGAAGATAAAATGTGAACACTTATTTTTTGGATTCATACTTATTTTGCTATACACAAAACATTCAGATTTTAACACAAAGAAGTAATAAGTCTTAGCAGCATGTGTCTTGAAGTATAATTTTGCACTGTAACTTGGGGATGAAGTCTAGCACCAAAGGGAGATGATAAAGGAAATGGTGCAGGAAAGTGGAGATGATACTCAGTTTATGGTTGAACCAAAAAGTTTTTTAAGGGCAGCTTCAACTGAGTGATCGAGAGTTAGTCAAACACATCGGACCTGGATCAGGGAGCCAGCCAGTTAAAAGGAAACGGTTTTGAGATGTGGACGTGCTCTTCGTGGTGTAACTTAGCTGGTGGCTTTCAGAGTAGCCCATAAAACGGCCAGATCCGCGCTCCCTGGTGTGACGCTGTAAGTGAGCCCGGAGTTGGTGAGGGGGCGGCAGGCAGCGCCAGGACCGCCTTGGGAGCCGGCCGGGTGCGCGGCGCCAGGGGGCCGCAGGGGCAGTGCAGAGGGGACACGGCCAGGGGGACAGTGCAGAGGGGACACGGCCAGGGGGACAGTGCAGAGGGGACACGGCCAAGAGAGGCCTGCAAAGGGAAGGCATCTCCACCTGCCGCTACGGATAACCCAGTCGGACCTTCACAGCCTCGTGGATGCTCGGCCCCTCTTCCCCGCTGTGAAAAGCCACTGTACGTTTTTAGAGCAACAGCCACAATTTGTAAGAGAAAAGGTGAGCACAAATGAAAAGACAACACAAAGTCGGTGTGCACTGCGCACGTCTAACATCGGCCACGGCCGCGGCTGCCCTCCGTTCGGGCAAGGTGGAGGGTTACTGTACATGTGGTTTGAATTGGCAGCTTTCGGTTAGTTTCTATTAAATGTACTGTGCACTTTAACCTAACTTAAAATATATTTTAATATTGTCCTGTACTGCACAAATACCTGTTGTCAAATAGCATGATGATGTAATGAGAAAGACATTTTGAGCAAAGAGTGTATTCAATATAAGCAACATTCAGAGGCTGGTCCAAGAAACGGAAACTTCGATTGCTGCACCTTGACGGGCACTCAGATGCAGGTCCTCACATCTTTTTTACGTGTATATGTGGCAGCATGAAGCTCTGTAATCCTTGTTTTGAGAGATTTCTTTCTCAAAATTAAAATTTTTCTGTTGATATTAATTTTCAGTATTTTCCTGAAGTCTGTGTAATACAAATGGCTGTCTTCCTTCCACATGAAGTCTGTGCAGCTGAGATGTCTTTAAGATCCTTGTACACTGTGTATATGTGCAATAAAACGTGCATGGCCAGCTAACAGCACCATCAGTGGACAGAACATCCTAGTGCAAGTAGCCTTTTATTATTTAACAGACATTAAAACGTGAACTTGAACAAACCATTTTCTGATTGACTCACCCATGTGATGCAAAGGTTGACACTGATCACAAAAGAAATCTTAGGGGTCATTGTTGAAACAGATTGTAGCCATCCTCATGTGTGCATGTGTGTGTGTGTGTGTGTGTGTGAGTGTGTGTGTGTGTGGAACCACAGAACTTAGGACAGTTCAAAGCAGAGTTGCTGTGGTAGGACAGGGGTGGGGACGGAGACCTACACTCGGGTCCACCTGTCCCTTGGGTGGTGACTCCAGAAGTTTATCTGAGGAAGTCTGAAGGTTCTGTGGTGCAGGTTGGAAAACCACGAGGCTGGTCCTCCTTCCTCAGCTGCCTCCTGTGGAATCTGACACAGAGAGAGTAAAGTGGCTTGTGGCCAGTGTGGCTCAGGTGGTTGGAGCATCATCCCATATGCTTAAAGGTCGTAGGTTCAGTTCCCGGTCAGGGCACATACCTAGGTTGCAAGTTTGATCCCCAGTCGGGGTGCATATGAGAGGCAGCTGATGAATGTTTTTCCCTCTCTCTCTCTCTTTATTCTCTCTCTCTAAAAAAATAAAAGTCAGTAACTATATCCTCGAGAGATGATTTAATTTTAAAAAAGAGAATAAAGGAGCTGCTTTGATTTCGCTTCCTATACATCTGGCCAGTGGTGCTGTCTGCCCCACCTGTGGTCAAAGAGCAGCTGCTTTGAGGAATTCAAGTAAAAGTAGTGATGGATGGTTTCTGTCTTCTCATCCCAACCCACACACAACAGACAAAGACCTGAGACCAACAACCTGAGCAAGGAGCATAGTGACCAGGTCAGGTCCTGCATTTCAGACGTGTGTCCAGCTGTGCCTGGCCATGATCTCACTGGGAAGGCTGCTCCTGTGCCAAACTCCCACACCTCAGGCACCTTAGTCTCCTGCACGTTGCAGAGGGCCTGTGCTTCACATGCATTTGCATTGTGGGAGAGCCAGAGCAACTGAGGAATGCGTGAGGGCAAAGGGAGAGACAGCAGCAGGGGCACCGGGGAGGGCCTGGCAAGGGCCTGTTTGCAGTAAGGTCGTCTGTGCAGTTCAGCCATATGGCATTGGCCAAGCTGGGAACTGTCCCAAAGACCGAGTTCTGGACAGCAGCTGCTTCTGGGCACTTTCTAGTTCTTGCTAGGTGACCATGGGAGACCCGGGCAACAGTGACCCAGGAGGGCTGTTTCTCTAATCTTACATCTTCCACAGGAGGTGAGCCCGCAGAGATCAGGTCCCATGGAGTCTGGTCTCGGGAAATGTGGACTCGGGTTATCTTCAGAATTGGTACTCCTTGAGCGTGGGGCATGTGTGCAAAGCAGAATTCTACTCTGAATCACTGTCTATCCCACACACACATGTTCATGGGCCACCATGATGGCCAGTACTAACTGAGTGGCTAGTGTGGGTCAAGTGTTTTTTCTGAATTATAAGCAGCATTAAATCAAGGCTGCTTGTCTATTTTGTTCTTAGCTGGTTCTCCATTAATGAGACAGTGCGTATCCTATAGTAGGCTTTGAAGAGATGCCAGGGAGGAAAAGGAATGGATTTCACATACACTATCTCAGTAAGTCTCACCAAAACGCTACAAGGAAGTGTCTTGTGGTAGACACCTGGGGTTGCCCACCTAATACCACCTTCTTCTAGGAACTAACCCTGCCTCAGCGTCCATGAGGTTTTCATGGCTCTCACCTGACACTGCTAACCTGCCTGTTGTTGATTCAGCTGAAGACACCTTATTCACGATTGACTAATAGGTATCTTCCCTAGGATTTTAATTCTTTTTCTAGTGACTGAAGACAAAAGATGTAAAACCTGGAGAAGACCTAAGGATGAAACTGGTGTGCAGAGAGAAGAAATGGGGACAAGAGGCAGCAGAGAACCCTGGCAGGTATTTGCTTTCCTGGCCCCAGAGTCAGAGTCTCATCTTTCTGACATGTGGGTCATCAAACTTTCTGTGAGTACTTCCGAGAGGCTGTGACTTTGCATCAAATCAGTTTGCGTTGGACTTCTATCACTTCTAATTAAGAGTGCACACTAACTGGGAGACGGTCAAGGTCACAGCAGGGAACAGCAGGTCAGAGTGAATGCAGAGGACCCAACTGGGGTTTCTGGGTTAAAAAAAAAAGCCCTGGACAGTAGTTAGGATGTTTGGAGAAACAAAAGACAGCATATTTGTGTGATAAATCTGATAAACTTCGCCTTTAACTGGGACTAGATTACGTGCTGGCTCCGACTTAAGCCTGCGCAGGAGTGGGGAGAGAGATTTCCAAAACAGGAACGAACCCTCCAGCCTCCTAGCCATCTCTCTCTCCCAGCTTAATCAAAGGTACTGTGTTTGGTTTTGTTGGGGGGGGGGGGTGCTTTTCTCTTTATCAAAGTGATACATGTTTATCCTAAAAACTTTGGAAAATGCTTTTCATGAAAGGCGCCGAGAGCGACGAAGCCCCTGCCCCTCCCAGGGCTGCAGCCAAAGCAGAGGCTTCGAAGGCAAAGGACGTGCTCAAAGGCGCCCATAGCCACACGAGAAATAAGATGAAGAAGAAGAAGACGATCCGTCCGTTACCCACCTTCCCACAGCCCAACGCACCTCCACTCCGAAGGCAGCCCAAATATCCTCGAAGAGCGCCCCCAGGAGACGCGAGTGGCCCGTGCCGTCGTCCAGGCGCCCTGACCGCAGGGTCAGCCAGGAGGGAGGCAGAAGACCCGGGTGTGCGCTGCGGAGGGCGGGCCAGCGAGCCCGGGCTTAAAAGGCTGCGAGAAGCCCTGGCGACGGCCGCGCTCAGCACCCTCTCAGCCCGGGGGAGCCAGGTCCCCGCTCCCGGCTCTGGTGCTTGGGATGTTGCCGACAAACCGGGATCATCTGACCGAGCCCAGCTGGCTAATTCTAAATACAAAGATTTTCACTGTAAGAACAAAAACAAAACTTTGGAAAGTATGAAGAAATTGGGGACAATCACCCAGAATCCCACCTTCTGGGGAACTGTTACACTTCTGAAGTATTGTCCTTGGTACATTCCTATGCATTTTTACATAATACAGCTTTACGTACTACCTTTTTTTCTCATTAATGTCAGAGGAGCTAGGCCATCTATCTGCAAAGGGGATGCAAACCCCAATTCTGTCCAGTACCCTCCATAAAGAGCATAAGAAGGGTTGACGCCAAAGCTCTCAGAGAAATACGCTGGGTGCTGTGCATCCCCGAGCCTGGCTTGCCCGGGAGGGGGCGCTGCACCTTTCCCTCA